CCAAACAATAAGGAGAATCTCTTGTCATTTTATCTATGTACTTCTTTTTTAAACCTTAGTTTATATGCTGAAAGTTTACTAATCTATTTATATTCAAAATGTGTAATGGCACTTTTCTAGACACAGTGGCTTCTCAGTGGTTTAGCTGAGTTCTTCTGTATACAATGAATTGACTTCTAGGTAGTTGACAACTCCTGGGTGGGGCACTCTCCTAGAATGCTTGTTTCAGTGTGAATGACAAGAAGCTGGGCACAATTCTACCAGATGCCCCAATCCAAGTCTGCTCTTCTATTTTAATTTCTCATTTCAGGCAGTGGCTCTTCCAAGAAAAAAATCTTGAGATTATCCTCAATTTTCCACCCCTGTCCTACCATTTCATAACTCAATTTCCAAGTTTTGTTGATTTTATTTCCTAAACAGCTCTTGACTCTCATGCTTCCTATTTCATCCCCACTTAATCATTTTATGTGTCAATTTGGCTACATTATAGTACCCAGTGAATCTATAATTCAGACAGGAAGGAAGAGGGCAGGGCACAACCATTAAGAACAGGATACCACGAAAACCGGTTAGAACCTACTAGGCCCAAGATGGCAAAAGATTCGACTGCCAATAGACCTTGAGCCTCATTACACACTCATTGTAATATATTAGCGTATGCTAAAGGACACACCCACAGGTGCCATGACAGTTCTGAGGACGACCATAAAAGGCCAAAAAGTGGGTGGTGCCCCAATTCCTGGAAATCCCCACTCCTTCTCCAAGATAGTTAGAATATTCCTGCCACTTGTTAACCTGTGAAATTACCCAGTCCATAAAAACTAATCATCCACACACCTTGAGGCCGCTCTCACCTTCTGAGATGGTCCAAACTCTGTGAAGTGTGTTATCTCTCTACATAAACCTGCTTTCACTTTACTATGGCCTACTCTTGAATTCTTTTCTGCATGAAGTGAAGGACCCTCACTTGGTGGCTGGTCCCAGGGACTCACTCAAGACCTGGGACAAGACCATCCTCTTGTGCTCCATTTTTTCCTACAACATAATGATTTCAAAATAAAGTTTTTAAAAATAAAAACTAGGTGAAGAGTTAGGTAAAGCCTAGCTTTAAAAACTAGGTAAAGCCTAGCTTCTCCAACCCTAACCCCTCTACCTCATTCCTGAGCAGTTTTGTTATTTTTTGGTTGATTTCTGTTTCTTTTTGCAAAAATAAATAAATGTGTTTGTTGTTGAACTAATATGGATATATTACTAAGTAAAACAGTGAATATATATTTTTTAAATAAATAAATTTATTTATTTATTTATTTTTGGCTGCATTGGGTCTTTGTTGCTGTGCGTGGGCTTTCTCTAGTTGTGGCGAGCGGGGGCTACTCTTTGCTGTGGTGCGCGGGCTTCTCATTGCAGTGGCTTCTCTTGTTGCGGAGCACGGGCTCTAGGCATGCAGGCTTCAGTACCTGTGGCTCACAGGCTTAGTTACTCCACAGCATATGGGATCTTCCCAGACCAGGGCTCGAACCCATGTCCCCTGCATTGGCAGGGAAGCCCCACCTATTTGGATTTTATTCAAATGAAACGTAAACTTCTATTGTGTTTGAGCCATTTTGGGATTTGCAGTTAGAATTACCTTAAACCAGAATTTAGTGTGTAATAAATTCAGCATCTCAAACTAGTGGACGAAAGAATTCTATCCAATATGTGTGCTTATTGACACCTTGGAAACTGGGTAGCCATCTGAAAGAAAAATAAAGTTGCATCCATAGTTCACATATTATACCATTAAAGCTTTCAAATGAATCAAATACTTAAATGGGAAAAATAAAATCATACAAGTTCTAGAAGAAATCATGGAGAATTTCTTTATAGCCTTTAAATGTGAAAGACCTTCTACATGTGACTCAAAATCTAAAGTCACGAAAGGTTAGATTGGTAAATTTGAGTATCTAAACATAAAAACTGAATGGCCAAAAGACACCATTTACCAAGTAAAAGTACAAACGATAAATAGGAAACTTCTTCACTTTGTTTCCTCAGCCTTAAGGGTGGTGGCTATACCTGCAATTACTCTAGTACCTCAATGTCCTCTTTTCATTTTTTAAATCCTCCATTGCCTTTTAATCAATTTCTTTTTTTTTTTTTTGGCTGAGTGGCTTGTGGGATCTTACTTCCCAGACCAGGGATCAAACCTGTGCCCCCTGCAGTGGAAGTGTGGAGTCCTAACCACTGGACAACCAGTGAAGTCCCTAACCAATTTCTAATATTAACACCCATCTATTGAAACACCTAGTATGGTTTCTGTTTCCTGACATGCAATCTTTTTTAGTCTTTAATTTTTAAACCAGGTAAACTATTTTTTAAAAAGAAGGGACTTCCCTGGTGGCACAGTGCTTAAGAATTCCCCTGCCAATGCAGGGGACACAGGTTCGAGCCCTGGTCCGGGAAGATCCCACATGCCGTGGAACAACTAAGTCCGTGCACCACAACTACTGAGCCTGCGCTCTAGAGCTCGCGAGCCACAACTACTGAGTCCACATGCCACAACTACTGAAGCCTGCGTGCCTAGAGCCGTGCTCCGCAACAAGAGAAGCCACTGCAATGAGAAGCCTGTGCACCACCATGAAGAGTAGCCCCCGCTCACTGCAACTACAGAAAGCCCGCGCCCAGCAACGAAGACCCAATGGAGCCAAAAATAAATAAATAAATTTATTGAAAAAAAAGAAAAAATAGAACAAGGTAGTTGGACTTAATCAGATATAAAAGGCTTTAGAAAGCCATACTAGGGACTTCCCCCATGGCACAGTGGTTAACAATCCACCTGCCAATACAGGGGACATGGGTTCGATCCCTAGTCCGGGAAGATGCCACATGCCGTGGAGCAACTAAGCCCATGCACCACAACTACTGAGCCCGTGCACCACAACAAAAGAAGCCACCGCAATGAGAAGCATGCGAACCGCAATGAAGAGCAGCCCCAGCTCACTGCAACTAGAGAAAACCTGTGTGCAGCAACAAACGCAGCCAAAAAGAAATTTTTAAAAAAAAAGTTAAAAAAAGAAAGCTGTAGTAATTAAAACGGTGTAGTTATAGCACAGGATTAGACAAAGACCAATGGAACAAACTAAGGATCCCAGAAAAGCTTATACATAAATGGAAACATGATACTGCATGACAGGCAGCATTATAAGTCAGGGAAGAAAGTATGAATGAAGCTGAAATCATTTTATATTTAAATGGAAAAAAATAAGAATCAGATCCTGGGACTTCACTGGTGGTGCAGTGGTTAAGACTCTGTGCTCCCAATGGATCAACTAGGGTTCAATCCCTGGTTGGGGAACTGGATCCCACATGCATGCCACAATTAAGGGGCCCGTGAGCCACAACTAAAGGAAACTGCCTGCTGCAACTAAGGAGCCCATGTGCCACAACAAAGGAGGCTGTGAGCCGCAAGTAAGGAGCCTGCGAGCCATAACTAAGATCCGGTGCAACCAAATAAATAAAATAAATATAAAAAAAAGAAAAAAGAATCAGATCCATGCTTTGTATCACACACGAAGTCAATACCAGATAGATTAAAGTTCTAAGTGTGAAAAGGCAAAACTTTCAAACTTAAAAAAAAATTTTCATTTATTTTTGGCTGTGTTGCGTCTTCATTACTGCACGCAGGCTTTCTCTAGATGCGGCCAGCGGGGGCTACTCTTCATTGCAGTGCACAGGCTTCTCATTGAAGTGGCTTCTCTTGTTGCAGAGCACAGGCTCTAGGTGCGCGGGCTTCAGTAGTTGCAGCATGTGGGCTCAGTAGTTGTGGCGCATGGGCATACTTGCTCTGCGGCATGTGGGATCTTCCCGGACCAGGGCTCGAACCTGTGTCCCCTGCATTGGCAGGCGGATTCCTAACCACTGTGCCAACTGGGAAGTCCCCAAACTTTAAAACTTTTGAAAGTAAATACTGGTGTAAATATTTGAATAAGAAAGGATTTCTTAAATGAGAGAAAGTACCATAAGGGAAAAAACTGTCAAATATGACTACATTAAAATTAAATTCCACCAACAAAGGCAACTTAAACTAAGTGGAAAGCAATACCACAGTCTGGAAGAAGATATTTATAGTGCATAGAATTAATAAAGGATTAGTAGCCAGATTATAAACATATCCTACAAAATCAGATTTTTAAAACCCAATAGAAAAATGGGCAAAGGATATCAACGGGCAATTTTCAAAGGACTAAACACTCTTGGGCAATAAACATCTGAATATATGCTCAACCTCAGTAATAATCAGGAGCATATAAATAAAAATAAAAAGTCACCATTGCATACTCATTAGACTAATAAAAATTAAAGTCTATCAGTACCTTGGTAACCATTCACAAACATTCAGACCCTAAAGGTAGGAATGGGGACGCTTTGAGGTAATCACATCTTGTTTTGGCCAATTAAATGTGAGGAGAAGTGATGTCCATCACTTCTGTGCAGAAACTTTCACAGCCAGGGTGCGAGCCCTTTAGTTCTTTCTCCCTGCCTCTCAGAAGCATGTGTCAGGATGGATCCTCTCAGCCCAGGTCCCTGAGTGACTGCAACGAACGGCCCTTCACTGTATACCTGCACTGCACTTGCAGCAAGAAACAAACCTTTGAATTAAGTCACTGGTGGTTCTTGGTTATTGTGGCTTAATTTAGTCATCCTGATGATACAAACTTCATTGTTGGTGAGGAAGCTGAACAACAGGGACTCTCACATACTGCTAGCAGGAGGCCAAGCTGGTACAGCAACTCTGGAGAAAAGTTTGGAAACTTTTAGTCAATTTGTGCAACTCATATATGCACAAGGACAATGATGGAAAGTTTTTATTGCAGCATTATTTTAAGAAAAAAACTGAAAATAAACTCAATGCCCACTGACAGGAAATAGATATATACATTTTTGTAGACTCATAGAAGACTATAGAGTAGCTAAAATAAATAAACAGAAGCTATCTGTCTCAAAATGTATAAATCTCGGAGATGAGCTCACTATATAAAGTTTAAATAGTATATTATGTTATGGATACATAGTATATATAGTAAAAGTATAACAACATGCATGGGCATAATAAACATCAAATTTCAGAGAAGTGTTTACTTCTGGGAAAGGAAGAGCTAGAAGCAGTGTTATCTATATAGGGTGAGGGTATTTGAAATGCTTCATTTCTTAAAAAAAAAAAAATATATATATATCATATTATTATGTTAAAATGCTGGGTGGTAGGTACCTGAATGTTTGTTGTATTATCCTCTGTACTTTTCTGTCTAGTTTAAATATTTAATAATAATTACAAAGAAAACATAGGCAAACAACAATGAAAAGAAAGAGCATCTATAATTCTGCCTCACCTGCTCCATCCCTGAAATGACCTCTATTAACATACTGGTGTAAACCTATCTAATGCTTCTCTGTGTCTTTGTGTCTCTGCCCAGCTGGCTAGGAGGAACAGGGTGGCAAGTCTTCAGATAACTGCAGCGAGGGCAGTGCAGAGTTTCGCAGGCTAGATATTTTGGACCTCAACTTACTCATTTAGAAGACATAGTATTGCTAAGTTAATATATTTATTAATAGGAGAGACATTTCATTATTCTATATTTAAGAATTTGCATTAATTCATTTCCCATCACTTATTTTTTTTCCCCCATCACTTATTTTGATTTTTTAAACATTTTTCCTCTCTCAATTTTTCAAAACTATTAGAGACTTCTAAATGCATATAAAACCTTTAGAATAAACATACAAAAGCATGGCTATGAGAACAGACAATTCTGGCATTGAAGAAGAGCGTCATATTTAAGCTGGATCTTTTAAGTGGTGTTTCTCGTTTTGTTTTTCTGCTTTTCTACCTTTTTCTCATTTGCCTTCTAGTATTCCTTATTAGCTAAAATTCTTCTTATCAGCTCTCTCCCCAATATTCTGTTTCCTTCTACAAACAGTATGCGTATGCACACTTGGTAAGGAAGACTAAGCAAGCATGAAGCTTAATGTGATTTAATGTAAACTATGGTTTCCTTAAGCTTTTAGCGCCACCTTGTGGCAGCACTCTGATGTCAGAATCTATGCTTTCCTGATTTCTTTTTATGCTCCTGAACACAACTCTTGACTGAGGTTTACAGTACTAGTCATTTAAAGATATCATGTCACATAGCAGTATGGTTCTCAACGTGTCTGCAATAGAGTCACCTGGTGACCTTTAAAAAAGTACTAACCTAGGCCCACTCCAGAACCACTGTCAGAGAGACTTACACTGATTTGTTGGACAAAGCTAGATGTCATTTAACACATATTCAGCTATTGCACATCACTTACTGGGAAAAAGTCATGTTTCTTCCCTGAGTATATGACTACTTAACATTAGAAATGAATAATGCACTTTAGAAATCCCCCCTCAAGTATTTGTTCCTGATGTAAAATAATTCTGGCAGTTCCCTACGTTTCTTGCTGAAGTTTCACTTTTTCTTAATTTTTTTTGAAATTCTCACCGGCATGTGGGATCTTAGTTCCCCGACCAGGGATCACACCTGTGCCCGCTGCAGTGGAAGCATGGAGTCTTAAACCACTGGACTGCTAGGGAAGTCTCTGAGAGTCTCATAATTTCAATGGTCAATAGCTTCTGGTTGGCTCCAATTTTTTTTTTTTTTAAGATTTTTTCATGTGGACCATTTTTAAAGTCTTTCTTGAATTTGTTACAATATTGCTTCTGTTTTATGTTTTGGTTTTTGGCTGTGAGGCATGTGGGATCTTAGCTCCCTGACCAGAGATCGAACCGTACCCCCTGCATTGGAAGGCGAAGTCTTAACCACTGGACCACCAGGGAAGTCCTCAATTTTTTTCTTTAATTTGGGAAAATATATTAACTACAGACAAGCATAGTCTAAAACAACCTACCACTCAAAATTAACAAATGTGAACACTGTTGTTTGTTTCATATATAATTTTACTAATACAGCATAAGAGTTGGTTGGGGAGTCAAGGTCAATAACAACAACAAAAGCAGTGAGAACATCTGACTGCTAAACTGTGGAGACGTTGTGAATGCAACACGATTCAGAGAAGAGAGAGGTCAGCAGATTCATGGAGAAGGTGAGATTTGAGCAGGGACCTGGAGCAAGGGGAAAACTTCAATAGGTAGCAAAGCAAGAGAGCAATCTAGATGGGAGAACAGCATGAGGCAAGGCCAAAAGTGGGAATGAGCACAACATAGTTATTTCTAACTAATAATGGTCTAATAATATTTTACATGTTTTGAGCACTTACATATGTCAGGCACTGTTCTAATTGCTTTACATGCATGTGTTAACTTGTTTAACATAGCAATACCGTCATCAAGGGCACATTGCTCAGGTCATTCTTTTCTGTTTCTCTTAGACAAGTTGCCATGTCTGGGACTCAGTTTCTCCATCTGGGAAAAAAAAAAGCAGATAATACTGTTCTGTGCATGGATATGTGCATATAGGTAAATATAAGAAGAGACTAAATAGAAAATGATATACCTGTTAGGGTAAATTGGTAGATAAATGGTAACTCTATGTTTAATTTCTTTTGAGGAACTTCCAGACTGCTTTGCAAAGTGCAAAATAGCTGCTCCATTTTACATTCTCACCAGGAGTTCATGAGGATTCCAATTTTGCCACATTTCTGGCAACATTATTAGGTGTCTTTTTGGTGATAGCTATTCTACTGGGTATGAAGTGGTAACTCGTGGTTTTCATTTGCATTTCCCTCATGGCTAATGATGTTGAGCATCTTTTCAAGTGGTTTTGGCCAAATGGCCATCTTCTTTGGAGAAATGTCTATTCAAATCCTTTACCATTTAAAAAACTGGGTTGTCTTTTTAAAATTTTGAGTTGTAAGAGTTCTTTTTAAATTCTGGATATAAGTCCTTTATCAGATATGTGATTTGTAAATATTTTCTCCCATTCTATAGGCTGTCTTTTCACTTTCTTGATTGTGTCCACTGAAACACAAATGTTTTTAATCTTGGTAAAGTCCAATTTATCTATTTTTCCTTTTGTTGCTTGTGCTTTTAGTGTCTTATCTAAGTATCCATTGTTAAATCCAAGGTTGTAAAGATTTACCCCTGTGTTTTCCTCTAAGAGTTTTACAGTTTGCTTTTACAATTAGATCTTAGATCCATTTTGAATCAATTTTTTTGTATATAGTGTGAGATGGGGTCTAACTTCACTCCTTTGCATGAAGCTATCATTTTCCCAGCACCATTTGTAGAAAAGACTATTCTTTCCCCATTGAATGGTCTTGGCACTATAGTTGAAAATCAGCTGGCCATAAATAGATGGGTTTATTTCTGGACTCTCAATTCTGTTTCATTGATCTGTATGTCTATCCATATGCTAGTACTACACTGCCTTGATTACTGCACCTTTGTAGTAAGAGTTGAAATCAGAAAGTGTGAACGCTTTGTTCTTTTTCAAAATTGTTTTGGCAGTTCTGGGTCCCTTGAGTTTCCATATGAATTTTAGGATGGGTTTGTCAGTTTCTACAATGAAGCCAGCTGGAAATCTGACAGGAACTGTGGTGAATCTGTAGATCAAGTTGAGGGGTATTACCATCTTAACAATATTAAGTGTTCTGATCCATGAAAATGGAATGATCTTCCCATTTATTTATATCTTCTTTAATTTCTTTCAACGACATCTTGTAGTTTTCAGAGTACACATTTTACACTTCTTTTGTGAAATTTATTCTTAAGTATTTTCTTTTTGATGCTATTGTAAAGCGAATTTTAAAAAATTTCACATTCATTTTTTTCATTGCTAGTATATAGAAATAAATTGATTTTTGTATATTGATTGTATATCCTGAAATCTTGAACTTAATTACATGTTCTAATAGTTTTTTAGTGGATTTCTTGGGATCTTCTATATACAAGATCATGTCATCTGTGAATAGATATGGTTTTACTTTTTTTTTTTTTAATTTAAGTTATTTATTTATTTTTGGCTGCGTTGGGTCTTCGTTGCTGCGCGCGGGCTTTCTCTAGTTGCGGTGAGTGGGGGCTACTCTTTGTTGCGGTGCGCGGGCTTCTCATTGCGGTGGCTTCTCTTGTTGTGGAGCACGGGCTCTAGGCCCTCGGGCTTCAGTAGTTGTGGCTCGCGGGCTCTAGAGCGCAGGCTCAGTAGCTGTGGCACACAGGCTTAGTTACTCCGCGGCATGTGGGATCTTCCCGGACCAGGGCTTGAACCCGTGTCCCCTAAACTGGCAGGGGGGTTCTTAACCACTGCGCCACCAGGGAAGCCCTACTTCTTTCCAAAGCCCTACTTGTTTCCCTATTTGGATGCATTTCATTTTCTGGCATGGAAGACAAATTGCAAACCAACAGACAAAAAAGAAAGAAAGAAGGGGTTTCCCTGGTGGCCCAGTGGTTAAGACTTTGCCTTCCAGTGCAGGGGGTGCGGGTTCAATCCCTGGTCGGGATCCCACATGCCTAGGGGCCAAAAAACCAAAACATAAAACAGAAGCAATATTGTAATAATTCAATAAAGACTTAAAGAAAAAAAGAATGATGTAATAATGTTAGATTTGTGATTTGTACAGAAATAAACTATGATGATGTAATGAGTGTGACTTGGGTAGCTACCTTAGATTGGGTACATGGAAATGCCTCCTGTGAGAAAATGACATCTAACCTAAAATCTGAATTATAATAAGGAGGTTTCTAGACAGTGGGAACAGTAATGTGAAGGAACTAAATGGTGGGAATGAGCTTAGTTATTGGAGGAGCAGGCAGGCCATGTGACTGGAATGTAGTAGCAAGAGGGGAAAGGAGACTGAGAGGCAGCCAGGGGCTAGGCTGTGTGGGACTTTGTAAACCCGGCAATGGAAGTTGGATTTTATTCTAGGTTTGATGAGGTGCTACTGGAGTGTGATGTGATCTGATTCACATTTCAAAATCACTGTAGTTGCTTTGTGAATAACAGAGGTTAGAGTGGGAGCTGGAATCACTTAGGAGGCTTGGAGATGTTAATAACTTGGAGTGATGCATTATGGCGATGGAGAGAAGCAAATGGATGTGGGTTTTATATCAGACTTGCCAATGAATTGGATGTGGGGAGTGAAGGAAAAAGAGGAATAATGAGGAATTTCTAAACATTCGGCTTGTGCACTTGAGTGGGCAGTAGTGCCATTTACTGAACGAGCAGGGAGCTGGTGGTGGGTTGGGGAGACATAACACAAGTCCTGCTTTTATTAGGTTAAGTTGGAGACACCTACTGATATTCCAAATACAAATCTCAAGTAGGCACTTGGATAAACAAGGCTAGAACCACAGGGAGTGAGCTGGGATCACTTGTTTTCAGTTTGAAGGAGCTGCCAGTGAGCCAGGAGGCACTCTAAGAGAAAATGTTTCAGGTAATCCAAGGTAAAATTGTTTCAAGGTGTTGGAATGTGCTGATAGGCCTAGACTTCAATCCCAGTGTGTGGATTACTTTAGCTCCCCGAACTTTCTTCTCCACCTATAAAATGGGGATAATACCCGACTTGGGGGTTTATTGTGAGACTGAAGGAGATAAGGCACTTAAGAGAGCTAGCAGCATTCTCAGCAGCTACTAATTTAGCAACCACTCTTCCACAGTTTGATAAGAACTACTCTTGTCATAGACAAGTAGTAAAAGCGAAACTAGCTACGTTTTCTCAAGGAAAGATAATCTTGGAAGGAGAGCTGCTATAAGACCATGCTGCAGCCTCACTCTCTCCTTCAGTAAACCTCTCTGAAGACAGCACAGGTCACTCACCACCACACAGCAGGAAACAGTTTTTCTACCTCTTCCTACAAATCCTGTTTATACTGCTTAAATGAGGCAGGAGGTTTAGTATAACAAAGTAACAAATGATGCCACAGCAACCACTGAACTATTATGTGCCTCTTTTCTTTCTTGCATTAAACAAACACACATCAGTCTTAGCAACTCAAGTTATAGGAAGAGGGATATCAATCTCCCATCTTAAAGGCTTTTAAGGGCACTTCCCAAATATTAAAATAACAGGGAATTCCCTGGTGGTCCAGTGGTTAGGACCCCACACTCTCACTGCGAAGGGCCCGGGTTTAATCCCTGGTCAGGGAACTAAGATCCCACAGTGCAACAATAATAATAGTTAACATTTCTGGAGGCCTTACGATTAGCCAGAAAATACTGTGCTAATTGTTTTAGATCTCTAAATCATTTACCCTGCCCCCGCAACAGTCCTATAAAAGTGGAAATAATATTATCCCCATATCATCCTCCCCAATAGATCAGCTTTAAATGAGAGAGTTAGCCAATTAGAATTGGACTGGCTAGGGACTTCCCTGGTGGCGCAGTGGTTAAGAATCCCCCTGCCAATGCAGAGGACACAGGTTCGAGCCCTGGTCAGGGAAGATCCCACATGCTGCGAAGCAACTAAGCCCGTGTGCCACAAATACTGAGCCTGCGCTCTAGAGTCCGCACGTCACAACTACTGAGCCCGTGAGCCACAACTACTGAGCCTGCCCCCCTAGAGCTTGTGCTCCGCAACAAAGAGAAGCCACCGAACCACAACGAAAAGTAACCCCCGCTTGCCACAAATAGAGAAAGTCCGCGTGCAGCAACGAAGACCCAACACAGCCAAAAATAAATAAATAAATACGTTTTTAAAAAGAATTGGACTGGCTAGGTATCCCATGCCTTTTAACTGAGCCGTGTGAAAAGGTGAGGTTCATAATAGTTCTTTAAGGAATAGTTGAGGGTTGAAGAATTAATTCGAGGTACTGGAGATAAAAGGGTTTTTGTTTGTTTGTTTGTTTTTATACTAAGATTTGCCTTTGGCAGATTAGCATGATAGGGCTTCAGCCTCTGCTTCCAAAGCACTTAGCATATCTCACAATACCTGGCTGAGTGTTCTGAAGAAGGACAACAACAAAATGATGCAACAGTATGGAATCAGCACTGTTACCAAATTATCTTTTCTGAAGTATTTTACCCTTAAACGTTTTGCTGAATCTTTACCAGGATAATCTCATTTAAAACAACCTTAAAATTTACAAAGTTCACCTCTTCCATGAAAACCTGTGATCTAGAGCCCATCTGAACATTTTTGAGAAGATGGAATGATTCAGATCAGGGGACTTTGCAAACAGCTTTTGCCATTAATGTTTATTTCAATTAAATAAATGTGAATTCAGAATTAATGGAAGATAAAACCTCAAAGTATTTGGCAAAACAAATGCTATTACGAGTTTGATTAAAATGTTTGTGGTACCTGTGCTATGAATTACAGACATCCACAAAATTAAAAGCACATTCTGAAGAAAATCAAATTCTGATAAATTCTGTTTGTAAAAATTCAGTGGTACAGTCCCCCCAGGGGAGAAGTAATTTGCCTTGCTACCATCAGTTAAAAATCAAATGAGCATATTTTCCTCTTTTAATTGTGACCGTCACAGCACTGTAGAACATGTACAAACCTAAATCCTTTTGATCAGAGTAAACTAAACAAGACGCTGGTATTTAACAGGGCGTACAGATCACGTAGTATAAAACATTTTCTTTTGAAAATAAAAAATTTATAATCTGTTTCAAAAATATCAAACAATTGAAAAATATATCGACTGCAACAGAATTTCCAAAGAGAAGTTCAAAAATCTTGGCAAAGCCATACATATAACATCAAATAAAACCTAGCTTCATTTACCAACTAAAACACTCATTAAAAATAATGATTTCTGTACGTCTAAACTGAGTGTAACACTTGGACATTTCAACAGAAATTGCTGTTCTGTCATACACTATTAAAGTCTGTTCTCTAATCTGAAGAAATTTCAATTATAAGGCAAAGGAAGACTAAAAATAGAAACAGTGCATCTTAAAGTTTTTCAGAGACCTACATACAAGTAATTTCCAAACGCATAATTTTTATATGCTTATGGTTTGGAACAAATTTTCCCTGAGCACTCTTTCTGCTTGGTTAGAAAATTAAACCATGATCTATAGAATAGAATTTGATTTTGACTTTTCTTAAATATATGCAATTTTTCATCCATCAGATGTATTTGGGAATCTTTCCTTCTAGACATCTCTAAAGTAATAACTAATTATAACGGCTTTAAGGGGCTATTCGAATGGCTATAGAGATATGGTTGAGTTTTAGTGCCCTGAGAACTGTACAGTGGGTGTCTCATACAACTGAAATGATTTACTAGCCTTAAAATGATCAATGGTTATTTTAACAAATTCAGAATGGCACTAGCTTCACAAAAAAAAGAGGTAATAATCAGTAATTCCAGCTCAGATGACCAATAACTACTAAAAACTAAAAAAAAAAAAAAACCAACAACAAAAAAACACAACTAAAAAAAAAAAAAAAAAAAAAAAGTGGGATTAACATTGTGCTTTCTGTGGAATAATATGCCGGAAAAAACTAAGGCTCCTGCCCAACACAGGAACTACTTCATCTTGAAAACTTATTTAATGCAGTCTTGAGATCTGTAATTCCTTAATAGTCGTGCAAACTTAAGATTAGCATCACTGGAAATTTCATCACACAGATTGCAGTTCTCAGTGCTATCCCAAGATTAACAGCCCAAAAGACATACTATAATTAGTGCACAGGTACCATACCACTACCAGCTGTGTTCCCCTCATTTTTAAGGTCTTAAAAAATTCTTAGCTACTTGAGAGTTTAGACCTCTTCTCTTTCAAATAAATAAAGGATAACAAATACTAGGAGCCTTAAGTATGCAAATTTGTAAATACTAACTTTCTACATAGCCTAGCATCACACCAAAGGAAAATTAGATTTAAGAAGTTTCATATTTACAATTAGATTTCATAAGACCTAACTATATATTTCTTTTAGCACTACGATTTATGTGGCTTGCAAGAATAATTAATAGATAACTTAAAACATTTAGAAGTCATCGTTCTGAAGACCTTCAAGAAGTGATGAGCAATTTCAGATGTCCAGAGGTGAGTCTTCTGTCTTCTTATATTTTAAGGTGCTTTACACAGGCCGACCTTGACCAAAACGACTTTTAGACCTAGATTTTTTAAACAGAAAAGAAGGTCAGAGGTGCTTCTAAAACAATAAGTTGCCACTGCTTTAGGTCATGTTTGCTTGACAGTGTCAAAGTTTAATGAAACTTCATGTAGCTCCATAATCCATTTTCAAAAATTCTTGGAGATGTATTTTGGAATTCAGATATTTTTTAATTTGGGGGAAATAATATGTACATATATTGTATATTATGAATCTGGAGCAGTGCCCCACAACCAAACACATTAATACTTCTTCAGTGAAACAAATGAGCATTTACATTAAGTGGGATAAATAAAAACTATAAATAGTACCACAGTAGCTCAGGTCAGGCTTGAGTTGCCACAAATGTATGAAAAAAGCTTTTGGCTTTCTGAGCTTTCTGGATTTCAGAATTGCAGATAAGGCATTTGGATCTGTAGTATTAATAATCAAATCTCAGTAACTGTTAATCTTTCAAGGAAAATCTGTGCTGTAAAATGACACAGAACATACAAATTAGAGTTTATTATGAGAGACAGAAGAAGAAACAAAAAAGGTTTCAATGATTTATACAAAGTAGTAATATATTATCTAAAAATAGTATAAAAATTCTGCTAATTCACACTATAGCTTACATTTTTATCAGCAGGTGGCTCAGAATGGAGCTGACTCAATAAACAGAAAACTCTTAAAAAAGTATACTTTCATTAAATTTTGTGATCATGACTTCTTAAAGTCTTAACTTTTAAGTTAAAATCTGGTTCTAATTAATGTCTGGATGATCAAATTCCTGAAACAAAATAAAACCAAACTCAAATTATGTGCTTCTCGTGTTCATATGATTTTTCCAAAAAAAATCACTTCAAAGCTAGTGGCATTCTGAATTCATTTATGCTGATTCACCTTGTGTTTTTCTCCGAGCTGCTTTGCCGTGCATTGACTGGCACTGAGGCCTTGATTTGTGCTTCGAGCCTGGAATAAATACCTCCTGCAAACTGCACAGTAAAGGAGAAAAATTAAGTTATTATCTTTAAGGAACCAATAGAAGCTCTGCTTTATTGAAATGGCATTACTTTTTAACTTAGAAGTAATTTTATTTTGATTTTTTTTTGATTTTTTAAATTCAGGCTCTGAGTTACAATTTATTTTTATTATTTTAGATAAGTAAAATTCACCCATTTTAGTGCACTGTTCTGAGTTTTGACAAATGCATACAGTTGTGTAACCACTCATAATGGAGACATAAAACAGTTCAAATACCCCAAGAAAATCCCCTTGTGCCCCTTTTAAGTCCAACGATTTGACACTACCAATTCCTGGCAACCACTGACTTGTTTTACGTCCCTATACTTTTGCATTTACCAGAACCTTATATAAATAGAATCATACAATCTGTAGCCTTCTGAATCTGGCTCCTTTTGCTTAGCATAACCTGTAGGATATTCACCTATGTTGCAGCATGTGTCAATAGCTCATTCTTTTTATCTATTCTACAGTCTTACTCATTTATCATGTAAAGGACATTTGGGTTGTTTTTAGCTCTTGGCAATTCTAAATAAAGCCACTGTAAAGATATGTGTGAAATGATCTGTTTGGTGAGTAAACACTTAATGCTATCAGAAACAGCTAAACTGTTTTCCCAAGTAGGCATTCCCTTTTGCATCCTTACTAGCTATATACGAGAGTTCCAGTTGCTCTATATTCTTGCCAGCATATTTAAAAAACTTTTTTAGCCGCAGAGCAACTAAGCCCGTGTGCCACAACTACTGAGCTTGCCTGCGCTCTAGAGCCCTCAAGCCACAACTACTGAAGCCCGCACACCTACAGCCTGTGCTCCACACAAGAGAAGCCACCGCAATGAGAAGCCCGCACACCACAACGAAGAGCCCCCGCTCGACACAAATAGAGAAAGCCTGCGCGCAACGAAGACCCAATGCAGCCAAAAAACAAAAACAAAAACCAAACTTTTTTAGACATTCTAGTAGGTGTATAGTGCTATCTTGCTGAGGTGTTAATTTACATTTCCCTAATGACTAATGATGTTGCATCTTTTCCTGTGCTTATTTGCCACCTGTATCCCTTCTTTCTGAAGTGTATGATTAATCTTTTGCCCACTTATTGTCAGTGGATTGTTTATTTTATTATTGAGTTTTGAGAATTCTTTATATATTCTGGATATAAATCCTTTACGAGATAAATATTTTACACATATATTCTCATAGCTTATGGCTTGTCTTTCATTCTCTTAATAATGCCTTTCAAAAAGAAGTTTTAAATTTTGATGAAGTCCAATGTGCCAATTTTTTTCTTTCATGGATAATGCTTTTGGTGTGGTAGCTAAGAAATATTTGCCTAACCCATGGTGATAAAGATTTTTTTTCCTGTGTTTTGTTCTTGTAGGGAAGTAAATTTTTAAATAAAAGAATTAGGGGCAAGTGTTACTGTGAATACATAATACTGGTACTAATGATGATACATGTTATGACTAACATGTAATTCAGTAAGAGTAAGGTATTTCTTGTGATCATTTTCATCAAGATAACATCTTATTTTAAAGACAATGTCTAAGCACAGCATGCAGAGTTGATGAAAATTAGCAACTTCCAGGGGTCACCCTCTGGACAGTCTGCAGTACAGAGTTAATCCGCTCTTGATTGGACATTACACTTTCAGTAACAACGTACTTTACTATGTGTGTTATAGAGAGGACCTATAGACTGTAAGAGGTGGTGAAAAACTTATGTGAACAAACTGGCTAACTGGTACAGAATATAAAAATACATAAAAAATTTACTCTTTTAAAATTATAAAGCATCTTTATACTTATGATGAAAATAAAGTAGGAAGGCATATCCAAGCAAGCACAGTACACGAGTACATAATTCTTACTTCTTTTGCTTCCTTTGACTTGACTCGGTCCAGATCACCCAATCTCATCTTTATTAGGTGCCCTGTAATTTCAGACATCCGCCGTTGATCTGAAGGTAAAAATTAATAAACCTTACTTTTTATGAGGATGTTTTATTACTTTTATTTCTTAAAGAAGATTGCAATCATCAAGAGTTTACGAAAATACCATTGGATATTATTTATAGACACATACACCTATTTATCTTTGAAGGATTTTAGGCTGCAAGTGGCAAAATGGCTCATATACAGATAACTGTGCTGCTTTTAATATTACTGTAAATCAGCCTAAGACATATTCAGCCTTCTTGAGAGTGGAAGTAGTGGGTGAAAGTCAGTCTGAGAGGCCTCAAAATGACAGATACATAAAACAACATATTATCTACTGGGACTGTCTAGTAATGAAACTCTGGTTGATGCCTAAGGGAATGTGCTAATTCTGGGCCTTATTCCAGTTGGAATCTTTAAAGCTATTCAGCATACTTCATAAAATAAAAGATTCCTATCATTGCTATTTAGACCTAATTTGTACACTACACAAATAATAAAACTTACCATCTTCTCTTTGTGCATCTTGGTTGAATCTCAAGGATCTTGTGGCATCCCACTTATTCTTCTGCATACTCACACTATTGAAAAAATTAAACAAAAATCAGCACTGATGCTTTTACAGTGAACATCTGACTGGATTAAGGAGCAATACTCACATGAAAGGAGACACATCTCTAGAAGTTGACTAAAAAAAAGTAGACAACATTAAGGCCCAATTAGAACATATTTTTTGATTAGTGTTATAGGTAATACAAAAAGAGTTTACATTTATTGGGTGCAAGATACTGTACCAAGAGCGTTACAAGCATTCTTTCACTGAAGCCTTGCAACTACCATGTGAGATAGGCGCTACTATTACCTCCGTAATAAACAGCTTCAGAGAAGTTAAGAAACTTTCCACAGAGAAACAGACCTAGAATTTGAACCCAGTTTTATTTGTCTGACCTGGAAGCCCCCCACCTCTATGCAATCTTTTAAAATTCACTCATTCTGTGCCTGTGGTCCTTAATATGGAGATGAATGCACAACCCGTCCAACATAGATTGTGTGGAACTTGTTTGAACCCCAGCTTTTCACACATTTTTAGAATCTATAGTTTCTCTTTTAGCCAGCTGTAGTTATACTGTTCTCTTATTCCTACCTGGCTTTTTACTCCTTCCTTTGAAGGCACGGGGAAATAAGAATAATTTTAAAAGGTCATAAAATATTTATTTTAAAAATTTAAAGGCTACTTATTTTTTGAACAAGTAATACTGGTTCAAAATTCAAGAAGTACAAAGAGCACATATATTAAAAAGCCTCTGTCCCCCAGACATTCAGTTCCCTTCCTTAGGGGCAACTAATTTTATCAGTTTCTTGTATAGCTTTCCACAGATATTTTATGGATATACAAGAAAATTCATATATATTCTTTCATCTATTCTACAAAAATGGTAGCATAATATGCCACTATACATACTGCTCTGCACTTTTCCTTTTTTCTTTTCTTCTTTTTATTGAACTATAGTTACTTTACAATGTTGTATTAGTTTCTGGTGTAAAGTGATTCAGTTATATATATGTTCTTTTTCACATTCTTTTCCATTATAGTTTATTATAAGACATTAAATATAGTTCCCTGTGCTATACAGTAGGACCTTGTTGTTTATCTATTTTATATATAGTAGTGGTTTGTATATGCTAATCCCAAACCCCTAATTTCTCTTCCCCAAACTCACTTTCCTTTTTTCGTGTGTCAATATACCTTAGAGATCTTTAATCTCAGTCTTTATAGTGATTCTTCACTCATTTTTACACTGCTAGCATTCCACTGTGGCATTCATTACTCTTCTTTTTCGAATTTTTCCTGGCTGTACCTGCTTATTTCTCAATACGAACTTTAGAATAGTAATAGATAATTTAGTGTTACCTTCTCCAATGCCTTTTCTTTCTTCTGACCACAGGGTGAAGACATCTGCTTTTTTGGTTGTTTAGTGAATTTCTTTGGCTTCTCCTTTTTCCCTGATAACAGAAGGTCAATGTTATGAGCATAAGTCCCACATACTTTTCCCATGCACTTGTCATTCAAACAATAAAACCACTGAAAAATAAAACATTGTTTTTAAAAACTAACAAATTACCTTGGGATAAAAAGTAACTATATGGAGAAATCAAACTAAAACTGCTTTACAGAGGTTCATTTTAATTACTTTTCTTCTTTCTACTTGGTGAAAATCTTTGTGGGAAAAATGAGGGCAATGAATTCCAAATGCCAGTGAAATTAAATAGAGAAAAATGTTGGGGAAATTATTCATATTTCTTTCTCTGAATCTAATTTGCCAGTGGAGTCACACCTCCTAATTCCAAATTTTTTATATAAAAAATAACTATAACCCAGAAAAACACAATTTGAGAATGGGAGGAGAGAAGAGCTCACAAAAAATCTTTAAAATGTCTTTTGTTCATGCAGGAGGTGGGCTATGAAGGTAAAAATGGAGGTAGAACATAAATGATCTTGTGAAGAACCAGATCTGGGACAAAGTATATTTGAAACTAAGGCATTACTGCGGCCAGAATTCTGCTTTACTCTGGCTGACAGTTTAGTGGAGAAAGGAGAGAGGCAAAAAGGAGGGGCAAGAAGTATTTCTCTAAAAACAATGTTTAAAGGTTAAGAATAGCACATTAGATCACTGTTTCCCAAATATCAATTATTTGTACACCACCTTCACACTTTTTGCTCTATCTTAAAAGGGAAACTTTATCACTACCATAAATGAAAAACCTGTAAAATGTGCTACATAGAAGATAATTTTGAAGATAAAAGAATAAAGACAAAACAACATCAATAATCTGGATAGCTTTATTTGCCTGCTGGCAAGCCCTGAGCCCCTGACGTGTCTCTTTGTTACAGTGGGAGATTTAAGCGTTATAAAATTTCTAAAAGCCGTGATAGGGTGGGACATATGATAATGGCAGTGTGAAAAGGTTGGATAATTCCTTCCCTAAAAACAGAACAAAAATATTATAAACAACCATCTGCAGGTACTGGGGAATAGTCAAAGGAAGACAGAAAGTTCAATGTTTACGTTTGAAAGATGCAAGAGCTAAGAGCTGTGAGTTTGTGGCTTTCTTGTCTGAGGGCACTTCCCCACCTCCCCAGTTCAGGGAGGAAAATTACAGCCTTGAGTTCTAGGGAGAAGATGATAAAGTTCGAAGCAACAGAGAAGCTGGAATTTTTTTTTTTTGGCTGTGCCACATGGCTTGTGGGATCTTAGTTCCCTGACCAGGGATTGAACCCATGCTCCCTACAGTGGAAGCGTGGAGTCCTAACCACTGGACAGCCAGGGAATCCCCAAGAAGCTGGAAATTTAAAGGGGAAAATATGGAAGCAAGAAAGAGACTTGAGGTCTAAAATGTGAGTATAAACTATGCCCAAATTCCTAGCTGAGTGTTAAACTCTGCAGGTATATGGGAGACCCTAGGAAGCCCCGCTAAAAAGGCAAGCAGAAACTAGGGTGGGGTGTTGATCCTTGCAAGACGGAACTGTTCTTTGCGAGATGTGGGAGTTTCTTGTGCCTTTTGACTGAATGATTTCCCCAAACTGCCTTTAGCTTGAGCTTCTGAGAGTCTTATAGGCTTGAGGTATCAGAGGTCAGACTTGGGAACTAAAAAAACAAGTAGGAATCTAGGAGGGAACCCAAAAAGTAAGGAAACCACTAAGCAGGTGAGCCCCCAAATCTGAATATAAGTTCTGTCCAAATCCTTGGCTGACCACTAAACTACACAGGCTGGTGTGGCCCCTGGGGGTGGGGAGGGCAGGCTAACGCAGTAGCAGTCAGCAGCCAAAAAACCTGTGAAAAACACCATCCACTGCATACCAGCCAGGAGACGGATTTTGCAGTTTGGGTCCGGCAGGTTACTTGCTTACTAGAACAAAAATCCCAACAATCCTCAGAAGAACAAAAGAGATTTCAGAGTTGCACAAAGATAACCTACGATGTCCGGTTATCTCATAACTGAAAAGTTATGAGATAAAGAAAGTGAAAAGAAAAGAAACAGTCAGAAAACACCCAGAAAAGAAACAGTCAATAGCAACTGATTCTGAGAGGGCCAGCATGTTGGACTTAGGAGACAATAACTTCAAAGCAACTATTATAAATATGTTCAAAGGAAAAATGGTAGTATTGAGTAAGCACATAGAGAATCTCAACAAAGAAACGTAAAGTATAAAAGAACCAGGGGGAAATTCTAGAGCTGAAAGGCACAATAATTGAAATGAAAAAATGTACCAGATGGGTTCAAGAGAAAATGTGAAATGGCAGAAAAATGAATCAGTGAATGTGAAGTCATAGGTGTACTGGAGCTCCAGAAAACAAGTGACAGAAAGGGGCAAAAAAATACTTAAAGAAATAAAGACTGTAAGACAACATTAATTTACAGATCCAAGAAGGTCAACAAATCCCAAGTAAGATAAACACAAAGAAAGTCACATCTAGGCATATCATAGTTAAGCTTCTAAAAGTTAAAGATAAAAAGAAAATCTGGAAAGCAGCATGATTAAAAGTGCACATTACATACAGAGGGGAACAATTTTATCACAATGACTGACTTCTCATCAGAAACAATGGAGGCCAGAAGACATTGAAATGACATATTTATTTATTTATTTTTAAAATCTGGCCAATATTATGTTTAATGGTTAAACGCTAAAGGCATTATCATTGAATAAAGAACAAGATAAGAATGGAAACTACCACCACTGGAAATATTAGCCTCTGTAAAAAACAAGGAAAAATATTGAGATATATGAGACCAATTTTATCACAATGACTGACTTCTCATCAGAAACAATCAAGGCCAGAAGACATTGAAACAACATATTTAAAGTGCAAAAACTGTTATTAACAAAGAATTATATATATAATACATATATATATACACACATATATAAAGAATTATATATCAAGAAAACTGTGCTTCAAAAACAAAAGCAGGGACTTCCCTGGTGGTGCAGTGGTTAAGAATCTGCCTGCCAGTGCAGGGGACACAGGTTCGAGCCCTGCTCCGAGAAGATCCCACATGCCGCAGAGCGACTAAGCCCGTGTGCCACAACTACTGAGCCTGCACTATAGAGTCCATGAGCCACAACTACTGAGCCCATGTGCCACAACTACTGAAGCCCGCGTGCCTAGAGCCCGTGCTCTGCAACAAGAGAAGCCACCACAATGAGAAGCCCGCACACCGCAATGAAGAGCAGTCCCCACTCGCCACAACTAGAGAAAGCCCGTGTGCAGCAACGAAGACCCAAAGCAGCCAAAAATAAATAAATTAATTAATTAATTATTTTTAAAAAGCAAGGGGCTTCCCTGGTGGCACAGTGGTTGAGAATCCGCCTGCCAATGAAGGGGACACGTGTTCGAGTCCTAGTCTGGGAAGATCCCACATGCCACAGAGCAACTAAGCCCGTGCGCCACAACTACTGAGCCTGTGCTCTAGAGCCCGGGAGCCACAACTACTGAGCCCACGTGCTGCAACTACTGAAGCCTGCACGCCTAGAGCCTGTGCTCTGCAACAAGAGAAGCCACCACAATGAGAAGCCCGTGAACCACAAAGAAGAGTAGCCCCTGCTCACCGCAATTACAGAAAGCCCGTGAGCAGTGACGAAGACCCAACACAGCCAAAAATAAATTAATAAAATTAATAAATTTTTTTAGATGATGATATGGATTTTCTCCTTTATTTTGTTAATATGGTAAAATGTATTTCCAAATGTAAAACCAAATTTGCATTCCTGATATAAACATTACTTGGTCAATTACTTGATATATTAACCTTTTTTTTTTACTGGATTTTGTTAGTATTTAAAAGTTTTTTATTTTGATAATCATGTTTTTTATTCTTCAATTGTTAATATGGTGTATCACACTGATTGATTTGTGTATATTGAAGAATCCTTGCATCCCTGGGATAAATCCCACTTGATCATGGTGCATGATCCTTTTAATGTGTTGTTCATTTCTGCTTGCTAGTATTTTGTTGAGGATTTTTGCGTCTATATTCATCAGTAATATTGGTCTGTAATTTTATTTTTTTGTGGTATCTTTGTCTGGTTTTGGTATCAGGGTGATGGTGGCCTCGTAGAACGAGTTTGGGAGTGTTCCTTCCTCTGCAATTGTTTGGAAGAGTTTGAGAAGGATGGGTGTTAGCTCTTCTCTAAATGTTTGACAGAATTCACCTGTGAAGCCTTCTGCTGCTGGACTTTTGTTTGTTGGAAGATTTTTAATCACAGTTTCAATTTCATTACTTGTGATTGGTCTGTTCATATTTTCTATTTCTTCCTGATTCAGTCTTGGAAGGTTATACCTTTTAAGAATTTGTCCATTTCTTCCAGGTTGTCCATTTTATTGGCATAGAGCTGCTTGTAGTAGTCTCTTAGGATGCTTTGTATTTCTGCGGTGTCTGTTGTAACTTCTCCTTTTACATTTCTAATTTTATTGATTTGAGCCTTCTCTCTCTTTTTCTTTTTTTATTATTTATTTATTTATTCATTTATTTAATTTTTGGCTGCTTTGGGTCTTCACTGCATGCGGGTTTTCTCTGGTTGCTGAGAGTAGGGGCTACTCTTCGTTGTGGTGCACAGGCTTCTCATTGCAGTGGCTTCTCTTGTTGCGGAGCAGACTCTAGGCACGTGTCTTCAGTAGTTGTGGCACACAGGCTTCAGTAGTTGTGGCTCACAGGCTTAGTGTCTCCGCGGCATGTGGGATCTTCCCTGACGAGGGCTCGAACCCGTGTCCCATGCATTGGCAGGTGGATTCTTAACCACTGCGCCAGCAGGGAAGCCCCTCCCTCTTTTTCTTGATGAGTCTGGCTAAGGGTTTATCAATTTTGTTTATCTTCTCAAAGAACCAGCTTTGAGAAGTTTTATTGATCTTTGCTATTGTTTTCTTTGTTTCTATTTCATTTATTTCTGCTCTGATCTTTATGATTTCTTTCCTTCTAACTTTGGGTTTTGTTTGTTCTTC